CCTTTTGCAATATGCCATTAAAAAATGCAATCATCACACCATTCATTTGTTTCTTTGAGGTGCTAACCATGACTTTTTTCCTCCAATTTCCAAATCAAGTTATGGAAAAACAACCACAAATCACTTTCAGGCATGTAAATAACGTTTTCACAATTAAACTGAATTATATATTTCTGTAAATAATATATAACAAGAGATATAATTCCCACAAATCTGGAAGTATTTATGCCCTGGATAATTTCTTTTGAATGTATCCTAAATGTGCTAATTTCTATAAACAGGAATGAGAGTTGAGGATCAAAAAGCAGAATGTAGCAGTTTGTGGCAAATGTGCATGGGAGGAATAGAAAAAAAAAGATGCTTTATAATCAGTTTGATTGATTATCAAGTCAAAGCTATGTGTATATTATGTTTCTTTATTATTAAAAATGGAACACTTCTTAGTACACTTGATGGATTTGTTTTGTATCCAAAACTAGTAAGGCATAAATACAAATACAATAATGAAATTTGGAGTAGTTTTTAATAGGGAAAAATTACTAAGGAACATAAGATAGTACTAAAAATAAAACAAGTAAAATATGTTCCTTTAAAAATATTGAAATTTTGTTAGTGGTTTATAAAAACAGAAAATGCCTTTGTGGAGCTTTGTAATTTTTCTCCATTTACATCCTTTGAATCTAATTTTGGAATAAAATGTTATCTTTTGAAACCATACACTCAGCACTACAAAAAAAAATGTTATCAACCATGTAAAGGTAAATGGGCAACCATTCTATTCAAGTTTGCAAATCAAGCAAGTCTTGGAAATAATTTGTTCTTTGCAAAGTCTGTAGTGTTAAAAAGAAACTTTATAGCCATTATCACTGAAAATTAAGAACAGGATATGCATTCTACCTCGATATCCCATGCTTTCTACTCCAATTCCATTGCCACACAAACAAGGAACTAAAACAGGAAAATTGTCCTTAATTTGGCATCAATACCTCTTTTGTTCCTCAGATGCACATTTGGTATGAACTATCACATCTTTCTTTTGATCCTTGTCTCTGATTCCTGTCTATAGAAATGAGCACATTTGGGATACTTTCAAAAGAAATTGCCCAGGGCATACATACTTCCAGATTCATGGGAACTGGATCCCTGTTACATATTACTTATAGAAATATATAATTCAGGTTAATTGTGAAAGCAAGTTATTTGCATGCTTGAAAGCGATTTGTGGTTGTTTTTCTATAACTTGATTTAGAAATCAGAAAAAAGAAAATGCCAAGGTTAGCACCTCAAAGAAATAAATGAATAGTATTGTAAATTGTATTTCTCAAGGCATCTTATTGGTACTATTTGCCTTAAATGATGTAAGCTTTTAAACAAATCTAGTGAGCAATGATGCCTTGAGAACATTTTCCCTGTAAATAAATTTGTAAAAAATTTTACTAACAGCAGGTGGCAATCTTTTAAAATCTGTTTTCAGCAGCACCATTTTACTGCTGTGGCTATGAATGTAGTTTCAAAAGATAATCTAAAGAAACCTCTGAATATTGAGGGATTGGCTCAGATAGCTTCAATTATCAAAAGATTCACATTTAATCATATCTATAGTTCTAATGAAAATTCTTATGAGACAAAATAAACATCTAAATGTGCTTTTTTCATTCAGAAAGGGAACAAGGTAACATTCTGTGTTGTTTTTCTATGCACGTGTCCTCAACAAAACATTGCAAGAACGGTATTTTTCGTAACTAAGATTTGGTATTGCCTAGGAAAAGATATGTTAATTTCAGTTCTTCCTAGGAATTTGTTCCTATTTTGAATAAACACTTTTTTTTCCTAATACCCTCACAAGAAACATTTTTGACTTTTTAAACCAGTCAGTTATACAGTCCAATTATGTGCCAGTCATTATGCTAAGCGCTGGGGATACAAACACAAAAATCAAACACCTTTAGCCCCCAAGGAGCTAACAATTCATCTTTAACCCCGTTCAAAATACTCCCTATATGGAAGGAGGTTGATATACTTTAGAAAACCTACGAAAGTAGAGAAATATTAAGTACTGGCTCCTTCATGTGAGTTCTATTAGAGTCTCTAGTAGAATGTGAGGTTCTTTGAGAATGAAAGTAATCAAGTGAGAGAAATTTTTATTTCCCTCACATTAATAACCAATTATTGAATTAGGACTGAGGATATTCCCCTTTTTGATTTCCCCATTCAGAAAATTCCTATAGGTTATTCAGACAACTTTTGAAGTGCAGGTCTGATAATGAAATGAAATCTTGGGTGAAAACAGGAAAACTTAGATCTGATCAAAAGGTAAAGAAATTCTGGTTTAGGTGAATTGGTGGATTCTGACCCATTGTGTTTTAGTCAGACAGGTCTGGGTAGAAGTGAATTCTCCTTTTGTCTATATGACCCAAGATGGGTGGTATGTGTCTAGATAAGATTCTTTGACCAAGACTGAGAGATTAGAGTCACATCCCCCAGACCCTCATTAGAATAAACTCACTTCTCATTATAATATTCATTCTCTAATTACTTGTTAACCAATCCGAATTTATTTGCAACCTCAGGAACACCCATTCTTCCAAGGGCATATAAGTACTGAGTGGATTCCATGAGGGATCTTTGGTTTAGGAGAGAGCCAAATGATCATCCTTTAATTAAGTGCTCTCTCACATAATTAATAAGATGATTAATTACTAAGAAGCTAAGTCTCAAACTTTTCATACATCACACAGGATTAATACCAACTCATATAATTTTAGACCTGGAGGTTTCTAAAATTAGTGTGTGTATTCACATTGGCTTATAACCAGAGGTCAGTGTCCTCAGAATTATAAGGCAGAATATGAGAGCTGAAAGCAATCTTAAAGACAGCATCTTGTCCAACCCTTGAATTTTATAGAGATAAGTAGTGAGGCCCATGTGGCAAGCTGAAATTATTCACCAGAGATAGCAGGTTAGTGGCAGGGTGTAGACCAGAAACCAGCTCTCTTAAGTCTGAGTGCTTTTTTCCATTTGATCGCACTCAGAAACCTATTTCACATCAGAAACTTCAAAATGATCACAGAAGTTTTGGCTGCTATAACTATATCAAAGCACTAAATTATGTACTTCTTAGCCTACTTGCTTATTTCTTTCTTCTACTCACTTATATAGATGTGTTCCCACTCTATCACTAATCCTTTCATGGACAATTAAAGGAATTTCATTAGTGGTAAGAAATGGTCTCTTCCCTAAAGAATCTTCAGCTTCTTCTCTAGAATGAAAATCTGGGTAGGACTTTGTGATTCTCTATTCTATTCTTAACTTATAGTTGAATTAAGTACTTCTTATGATTGTTAAGACAAATTTAAAATATTATAATGATGACATTCTTCCCAGGTCTTTTGGGTCCTTCTCAAATTCTCTCATTTGATCCTGACAACAACCTTGTGTACATTATTCTTGTCTTTATATTTAAAATGAGTCAGTTGAGGCTGAAATGTACAAAGAAACAAATTCATAGCTATGAAGTGATTCTCTCATGGTCATGACATTACAGGATTTGTAAGTGGGATTCAAATTCAACTCTTGGGGATGCCAAATACAGAATATTTTATACTACACAGTGCTCTCTTCTACCATTTATAATAGCTACCATTTATATAGTACTTTATAGTTTATAAAGCAGTTAGGTGGCACAGTGGATAGAGAGCTAGGTCTGGCTTCAAATGACCTGAATCCAGATTTGGTCTCAGACACTTTTGAGCTATATGACCACAGGCAAGTCAGTCATTTAACCTCTGTATTCTTTAGTTTCCTCAACTGTACAATGTGAATAATACCACCTGTCTCCTAGGATTGGCATGAGGATAAAATGAGATATTTGTAAAATACTTAGCATAGTGCCTAAAACATAGTAGGCAGTTAATAAATACTTGTTTCCTTCCTTCCCTTTCTATATTTTCTCATTTGGTCTTACATTGGGAGTTAAAAAGTTTAAGTTTTATCTCTAATGTACAAATGAGCAAACTGAGGCTCAAAGAAGTTATGTATTATATGACTTGGCCATCGCACAGATAATAATAACTATTTCAATTGGGATTTGAAGCTAGATATTCTGATGAAAAGTATAGTCCTCTATTAATTCATGACTTTTGCTTTTTATCATACTCATTTAACCAGTTGAGACTAAATTACCTTTTGAAAAACAATTAAGCAAAAACATCTGATACAAATACTATAATTAATGATGTATATATATATATGTATATATATGTATATATATATATATTCTGCCCTATAAAAGTATCCTACCGTTCTTTCAGAAAGAAGTGTATTTCATTATCTCTTTGACTCTTAAATTTCACTGTGTAAAGCTGAAATTTGTTTGGACTTTAGTAAAAAAAAATTCATAAAATAGATTAAAATAACTTCATTTTACTGATATAAATAATTTCAAGTAATAATACCTAGCATTTATTAAGCACTTTAAGGTTTGAAAAGCACTTTGTAAATATTAGTTATCTTCACAGCAACATTGTGAGGTAGGTGCTATTATTATCCCCATTTTACAAATGAGGAAACTGAGTCTGACCAATGTCAAGTGCCTTGCCCAAGATTACATAGCTATTAAGTATCTCAGGCTGGGTTTATGAATAGTGCACCCAGAGCACTATTCCCTATACCACATTTCATCAAATTGGACAAGGCTAAACAAAGTATAGAGATATCTTATGACATACCAACAAATAAGGAATAGTACATATGTTACAAAAATAAGTAAATGAAAACCTCGTAATAATTTTAAAAAGTGAGTAGTCTATTCAATTTAAGTATCACTTTCTATTGTTAATACAAATAAATGTATATCAAAGAAATTTATAAAGATAGATTAAAAAGATTGATTTGCTTTTATGATTTTATTACTCTGATTTCTACCTCTTCCAGTCCATTCCATTCTGTACCCTTACCCCTCCAATTTCTATGTGAACATAGTAACCATAGAAAATTCTCACCAGGGCATCTTTGCTCACTGCATCTTCTGACCTCTTCACCTGTTCCTTCACATTGTTGTCCTGTTACTGCTGCACCTTGGCAGATCCTTATTCTCCTTTCCCATCCACCATCACATGACTTGGAGCATCCACTCCAGTGACCCCATTGATTCCACTGGCCATTTGCTGGAGCAGATAACAGAAGAAACAGTGGCAAATCCATTGGATACTATATAAGAAAGTTCAATAATAGAATGGAATACTTTCATGTTGTTTTAAGCAATATAAATAGTTCTACTCTTCCATGAAAGTCTTCCTCTGAGGCCTCCTCATGGTGAGGACATAATGTTGGTTGGGTTCTTGAAGGCAGTGTCAAGATAAACACAATCTCTAATAGTTTTTAGGAAGCTGAAAGAGTTGGAAGTCCAGGTACACTGACAGGCTATAAGGCTCTCAGGAAACAATCAGCCTAGGTAAGTTTGGAAAGAAGTATTACCAGACTTGCTAAACAGGCAGTAGATATTTTTTTCCTCCATAGCAACTCATGAAGTTTGTCCACTTGAAGTACACATGGTCTGTAGTTTGTGTAAGTTAAGGGAATGCTTACATTGATTAAATCATGAATCATTTAACAATTGAAATATGTATTCATGTCAATAGACTTTAAAAGAAAAGGCCCCTTTGGATCATACCTGTAACATTTATATTGATTTATGCTTAGCCACCTTTCTCAGAATGGCTAAAGGTACATCTGATGTTATTCATAATAGGAAATGAGTCAAAAGAAATACTGAAAAGTAGAACACTAATCATTTCTGTCATTCTTTAATTACTTGATACTCAGTCTTCCTATAACATGACTTATAAGAGCCCAAACTTTGTTATAACAAAACATGAGGGAGTTTAGTCCCAACCATTACTAGTGCCTTTTCTTTGGGATTACCACCGATTTACACTGTATACAATTTGTATGTACATGTTTGTCTACATATTGTTTCTCACATTAGAATTTAAACTCTTTTAGGGATGAGGTGTGTTTTTTGCTTTCTTTCAATCACAGTGACTGACATATAGTACTTAAGAAATACTTATTGATTGATTAAGTTACAAGGAGATTTTTGTAACATATTCTCACAAAATTCATAATCTCATGATATAGATGCTAGGACTGTGGTATAGGGAGGAGTTGAGGCCACCTGTATGTGGTAGCAGGATCTGTGTCTGGTGATCTTGTCTTACCTGTACAGTCTGGGTTATAACATTCTCTGCTCTCTGCCCAGGGACCTCTGCATTCAGAGCCACCATGGGCAGCTGCAGTACACTGTCGGCTTCTTTGCTGTGTGCCATTGGAGCATGTCACCGAACACTGACTCCAGGAACTCCACTCCTGCCATTGTCCATCAACTATCAAAAGCAGAAAGAGAGATACATGGAGAAAGAAGGAAAACTTTGATGCAAAGTACATGATGCAAGTAGTCCCTTTGAAGACAGAACTAAACAAAAACACTTCACATTAGTAATGTTTTACTTTTAAAGAAATTTAAAGTTATTCAAAGTTTTTTTTTCTACATATTTAATTTCATTTAAGCCTCATAACAAATTTGTGAGGTTGGAATGTATTAGTATTCTCATTTTATAGATAAGGAAACTGATTCTAAGAGAGACTAAATGACTTGTCCAACATCACAACACCAGAAAGTGGTAGACCTGGAATTTGAACCTAGGTTTTCTGATCCTTAGGTACTATCCTCTATGAATCAGTGGTACTTAGGTACTATCCACTATGTATATCACAGATATACATAGGAAGGGTTTTTTTAAGTCTATGGATTAAAAAAGAATCACAAATAACATGATCATGACTATAATTTCTAGGGTACTTCTATCCTTTCCCTAGCATATTCATTCCATGTTTACTGTCTTATCAATGAGCAAACAAGATTCACTTATAATTCAGAGTTATCTATAAAAAAGTACTATGAAACCTAGCAAAAACAATAAAATTTGAAAGGAGATGAATTTACATGATTTCTTTCAGGACTTGAATAAAAGGGCCTGCATATCAAAAACAAATTTGCCTAATATAGATCTACCTGCACTTTAAAAATACTTTATGAAATAAAAGACATCATGAAATGACAATTTAATAATATCATATTAATGAGATTTACACAAATAATTTTATCAAAAATGCCTGACACAATTTTTAGCTGTGCAGTCTATTTGGCAGAACACATAGCTTCTTTTAGGTTACCATTTGGAAAGAAACAACATAGAGTTAGTGTTTCTTTATTACAATAGGTTTAATCAAAAATGAACTTTAAAAAAAGTTTTGTTTTACTAAGTCAACATTTATCTATTACATACTATTGGTACTGTACTATGTACTAAGCATATTATTAATAAGTTTTTTTCTATGTGAACTCTGGCCTACTAGCAGATATTAATTAATTATTAATCAATGAAACAGAAATATAAAGGTTGCTAGAATATATGCATATATGTACACACACACACACATATATATATATACACAGTTATACAATTTATGTAGTGTTAACAGAGAAATAAAAAAATAGAAATGGAATGAGCAGCATCTCAAGGACTTATTAGGAGGCCTTCCCAGGTTGAGGTGAATTATAAGATGATGAAGGGGAATTTCACAAAGTGTTAAGGAAGAATTGCAGTCATCAGAGTGACATGGAGACACTATAAGAAAGCAAAAGTCATCAAAGCACTCTATATCAGAGGGTTTATGTTATATGTGTTGATGAAAAATGAAAATTGATCTTAGCAAGATATGAGTGAGTAGAAGGAAGTGCAGCTATTTGTTGAAATGTTTAGATTTTAGAATGATTTATCTTGGAAAGACAAAAGATACATTACACTATTATAAAATACCACTGGTAGTATTTGAAAAGGTCCAAAGTTTTACATTCATTAAATTTTTTATTCAGTACTTTCTATCAATATGTATATGTGCATACACACACGTGACTTGAAGGTAAAACTCATGAATTGAGTAACAGTTAACATTAACCAATGGTAATGCTCACATAAATCTGAACATCAGAAAACAGGGGCTTGAATTGTAAAATGATTAATTGAAAAGTTAATTTTGTGGGGGAAAAGTATGAAACCATCATACCTCAAGTCAGAAAACTTCTGTTACATATATCTTGGTTTAGAGAAATGTATAAATATACAGTTGTGTGGATGTGTATTGCCTGAACACCAAATTTAAGCTAATGTTCCTAAACAAATGCTTTAATATTTTTTCTGTTACCAACTAAAATATTAATTAGTTTGAGGCGTTTTTATTAATGAAAGGAATTATTCCCTGTCAATGTAGTTGGTCATGCTCAAATTTTGCCAATTTGTCATAGACCTCTATTTCTCCAGTGCTGTGGGGAAAGAATTATTGGTCAATACTTTCATGGAATGCCAAAACTCAAGAAGGCACAAAGTCTTTCAAGTAATTATCCTTCTCAATGGGAATGCAATTAATCTATAAATATTTGTTGAATGTCAGTTGAATGTAAGGCACCATGCCAGGAACTGTAGAGAACAAAGAAGTTATAGGCACAATCAGTTGCTACTCTTAAACTACTTAGAATCCTACTGGGGAGAGATGACTCAAGGCAAAGAAATCAGTCAATAAATCAGTTAATAAGAATTTATTAAACAATTACTAAGTGCCAGATACTGTTCTATGCACTGGGATTACAAATAAAGGCAAAAACTGCCTCTAGGGAACACACATTTTACATAGGGGGTGTGGGGACAACATATGAATAACTAGAAATACACAAGCTACATACAGAATAGGTAGAAAGCAACCAGAGAAGGGGAAGGTACTAACATCTGAAAAGTAGAGACAGAAAAGCCTGATGTAAAAAAAAGTTGGACTTAAGCTAGGTCTTGAAGGAAGATGGAAAATCAATAAGTGGAGTTAGGGAAACAGTACATTCCAGGAAAAAGCACAGAGACAGGATATGGAGAATCATGTGTGATTAACAGGAAATATGTCAGTGTAGCAGGATCACAGAGTATGTGGAGTGGAAGACAGTGGTAAAGTGTAAGAAGACAGGAAACATAAGAAGGTTCAGTTTACAAGGAGCTTTAAATATCTGAAAAAGAAGTGCATTTTTGCTTTTGGCAGTAATAGGGAGCCACTGGAATTCAGTGACCATAGGTATAGGATGATATTATTAGACATATATTCTTTAGGCCTAATTTATTTATTCTGAACTTAAGAAAGAAAATAAGCATTTCTATAACAAAGTGGAATGGAAGAAAAAGATTATACATTAAACTGGAAATCTTCATATACAACTTGCTTTTCTTTTTAAAGATATATTAAGGTTATCATGTAACTTTCTTTTTAGTTTTTCCCTCCCTCCACCCCCTGCTTTAGAGATGGCTACAATTAGATGCAAATATATCTATATCTATATATGTAAAACCAGACATACACTTTTGAAAAATCACCTTGGCAGCTTAATGGAAGATAAATTACAATGGAGAGGAAGTTGAGACAGTGAATCCAGCTAGAAAACTGTTGCAATAATTCAGGAAAGAGATGATCCATGCTTGGGATACTATTGGGGCTATGTGAGTGGAAAGAATGGACATTTATGAGAGATACAGAAAAGGTTGAAAAGACAAGATTCAGGAATGGATTGGAAATGTGGACTGAGAGTGAGGAGTGAGGGATGACAGAGTTCACAAGTCTGGGTGACTGGGAGGATGGTGGTCTCCTCTTACAGTAAAATGGGAAGTTGGAAAATGAGAAATGTTTTGAGGGAAAGAGAATAAGTTCTTTTTTGGACATGTTGAGTTTGAGATGACTACAAGCTATCCAGTTCAAGATGTCAAAGAGCTGTGTGACCCTGAGTAAGTCACTTACCCCTGTTTGCCTCAATTTTCTTATTGGTAAAATGAGCTGGAGAAGGAAATGGCAAACCACTCCAGTATCTTTGCCAAGAAAATCCCAAAAAGAGGTCATGAAGAGTCAGATATGACTGAAAAATTATTAAACAACAAAAAAGTCTAGACAATTCTCTCATAAGTACCGAATGACTGATACTTCATATCTTTCCCCAGTCCCAGAACCAAATATTCTACACATAGTAAGCATGTAATAAATATATCTTGTTCTTACAGACAGTACAGGCGACAGAAGTTCAGATGAGGGACAAATCAATATTTGCTAGCATAACCAGGGATATTTTCTTGGAAGAGAGTGGGATTTGAGCTGAACTGTGAAGAAGAGATAGGATTTGGAAAGGGAGAGGAGATAGCTGATATTGTTAGAGAGGAAAAGAAGATCTAGGGAAGAAGCAAAGAGCCAGGAATTTGTAAGGAATATCTGAATATTGTGTGCTGGCTTATTTGGAGGAGCAGTTGGTCATAAGTTTAGAAAAATAGTTCAAGACCTGTTTATCTCAGGCTTTGGAGGCCAGGTTCAGGAGCTGAGGATTTATCTTGAAGATTGAGAGGAACTACTTAAAGCTTTAGAGCATGGAAATAAACAATTAAGCAGTATTTTAGGAAGATTAAGATCTTGGAAAAGAAATACTAGAGACAACATCAGTAAGCAGCATATTACAAAACTCAAAAGAATGAAGTTATAATAAGCTGAATTAATGTGGAGGCAGTGGGAATGGAAAGAAGTAGAGATGGGATGGCTTATGAAGGAGGAATTAAGAGAATTATTTGATTATTGCAACTTTAAAATAATGCCTTAAACTGAATTCTGGAATGGTAGAACCAATAAGAGGTCAGGGTGAAATAATTGTCTAGCTGAAGATAACTTGGGAGGTCAAGAGGAGAGGTCTGCAACACCAGGGTGGAGGGCAGCACAGGCCATACTGTTGCACCAGCAGCAGGTCTTGGAAGTGGCTGCAGCAGCAACAGCAGCAGTTTTAGGAGCTCTCAGTCCATAGATTGTAAAGAGGTAAGACAACTGGTCAGAGATTACAAGGGACCCTTTGCTGGCACTGAGTTCAGGAACCTGTTATGTTGCTCAGACTCAGTTCTGGATTGGAGTTGGAGAGTGAAGAGGAGCAGCCACGGGAAGGAAGGCCCTGGTCACAGTTCCAGGGTGAAGAAGGATGCTTATGGTTGCTCACAGGGGAGTAAGGACTTTGGTTTCAGTTCAAAGGCAGAAAGGAGCACTAACACTTGTGGCTGCAGGAAAGCAAGGGCCATGATCATAGTTCCAGGGCCAAGGGGAACACCAGTGCTTGTGGCTGCAGGGGATTATCTTCCCTTCCTGGGTAAAGACCAGAGTATAGGCCAGGAGAGAAGTGATCATATCTCTGCTTACATTATACCACCTTGGAAGCAGCAAAAACCTATGGAGCCCAGCCCCTAGAATTACCTCTGAAAACAGCAGCATG